ATTGATTGGGCAGTGTTTCATAATATGGATTTACAATGACCCAAACAAACAGCCAAATCAACTCAGGAGTTTATTAAAGCAAAGAAGTGGAATATTCTTGAATGGCCAAGTCACCTGATCTTAGCCCAACAGAGCATTTCACTTGCTGAAGACTAAACTTCAGACACAAAGGCTCACAAACAGACAGCAACTGAAAGCCGCTGCAGTAACAGCCTTAAAGCATTAAAAAGGAGGAAGCCCAACATCTGAGTTCATACATGAGTTCAAGACTTCAGGCTGTCATTGCCAGCAAAGGGTTTTCATACAAGTGTTAGAAATGAACATTTTATTTTCAGTTATTCAATCTGTCCTGTTGCTTTTGAGCATCTGAAATTAAGGGATTGTTTTCAGATTGCTTTGGTTCCTCACATTTTATTTTTATCTTTTTGTTCAACCCACTGAATTAAAGCTGCAGGTCTGCACTTCAACTCCATCTGAGTGGTTTCATTTCAAATCCGTTGCAGTAATGTACAGAACCACAATTAGAAAAAAGTTGTCCGTGTCCAAATATTTATGGACCTAACTGTATTTATGGTATGACACAATCTTAGCTTTTTCTACCATTAGCATGTTTGACTACATAATTTAATTATAAAATTATGCCTGTTGACTGACTTCATTTTCTTCTCATGTACTCTCCTCCCACCACACACACATATTTCCAGTAGAACCATCTTTTCTTAAGATCTCCAGCATTCCTCAGATCCCAAAGGTGGAGAGGCTGCTGGTTCTCTGCTGCCGCGTGGAGAACTTTTACCCCCAGGACATCGACCTGGAATGGTACAGGAATGATGGGGAGAAGGTCCACCTCGTCACTCACTTTGGCCCCTTCTCTGACCAGACCCGCCTCTACAATGTGTGGAGTAAGATCGAGCTCATCATGGCCATAGAGGATGAGAGGGCCATGTACACTTGCCGTGTTTACCACTCCAGCTTCCAAGCTCCGGGGTACAAGGATGTCTTTTACCACATCAACACTCAAGGTAGCAGCTTCAAATGTTTTAGATTAGATGAGATTAGATGAAACTTTATTAATCCCTCGGGTGGGTTCCTCCAGGAAATTCAGTTTCAGGGACAAAGGAGTTTTTAAGTCTGTTGGTTCTTGACTTTGGGAGAAGCAACCTGTCGCTGAACAGGCTCCTCTGGTTGTTTATGACCGTGTGCAGAGGATGCCCAGCATTGTCCATAATGTCCAGCAGTTTCTTTAATGTCCTTTTCTCTGCCACTGTCACCAGAGTGTCCAGCTTCATGCCGACCACAGAGCCAGCCTTCCTGATCAGTTTTTCCAGCCTGGATGAGTCCTTCTTTACTGTGCTGCTCCCCCAGCACACCACAGCATAGAAAAGTACTCCAGCAAACACCAGCTGGTAAAACATCCTCAGGAGCTTCCTGGAGATGTTAAAAGACCTCAGCCTCTCTGATTAGATTAGCTGGTTAAGAAAATGTCCTGGTGATGATGTAGTATGCAAAGGTCTTGAGACACCCCCTCATTTCTTTATATCTTGCTAGGAAATGGGACCTAGATGCAGTGATTTATGAAACATGCAGACATAAATGGAAATATGTCTACAGTAAAAAATACCACCATGCATAGCTCCCGATAGTTTTCCATGGTCATAATTCTATCAATTTTGACAACATCCCAAACACCACTAGTAGCCCCAAACATGACAGTCTCCACAATGTTTACAAATTTATTTCTCAAGGACATGATACTAATCCTATAGATAGTTTTAAGGCCTCCCACTTTTTCTTTTGTCCTCTTTCGTGTTTTGTAGTTTCCTCAAAGTTTTTAAGGACACGCTGAACCTTTCTGCTAAGATATGACAGCTAATGGAAATTTTTTTTGGTGTAAAAAGACTATAACTGTGTTATAGATTCAAAATTGAACTATAGAAATTGGAATAAATCAGGTGTGTGTGTCACAGGCTGAAAACAGTGCCTAAAGATACAATTTGTAATTGGTTTGTTGCTAAGTTTTCTGTTATATGTTCACACAGCACTGGTCAGAGATCAGTCTGAAAATGGTCAGAGGCATATAAGAGGTCCCTTTCTGGCATTAAATTGATTGCAATTTATGGTAAATCACAACCTGACCTTCAGAGTCAAAGGTAGCAGAGACCATGATGCTCTGGGAAGATAGACTAGTCAGTGTTAAAAAGCACTACTTTTCTATCAGTTATGATGACAGGTTTATGTTTCTTTTTGATGTGTTAAAAGAAACTGAAGTCAAATTCCCAAATGTCAGAAAATAAAACAAAGTGACTAAACTAGCTTTAGCTACTGATGATCTGTGAAACTGTACACTCATTGGCTAACAACTTGTCCTCCTCATCACATCTGGGGTTTTACAACCAGGATGGTGATGACAGAAGCTTTAAAATGGTACTTTAGAAAGTAGCGGGTCATGGTATCTTTTTTGTTGTCTATGCCTCACTATCCTAAATCTACTTACTATCCTAAATTTCAACCACATCTTATAGTTTTTTGGGGTTTTTTGTTACCAGTAGGATACTTTAGACTTGTAATTATCAATTTAATTATTTAAAATTTTACTTTGAATTACTACTTTATTTCCATTCCACAGTTTGCATTTTCTTTCTCATTGAAAATTATACAAACAAGAGTTATTCAAAATGATCCTTCAATATCAATATATCCATAATGCTTTACTACATGTGTTGCTTTGTTCAAACAGGAACCCCCCCTGATGTGATGTTCGTCAACCACGAACCTCAGTGTCCTAAAGTGAATGAAGAGTGTACTTTGCACCTGCACATAAAAGACTTTTGTCCTGAGGAGGTGTTGGTGACATGGACTAAAGATGGAGACAAGGTTGTCTCTGGTGTCTTTAATACTCCCCCCAGCCTGAACGTCAACGGCCTGTACTCCATGTTCAGTTTCCTCAAACTCAATCCCACCAAGAATTACCAAGGCTGCACATTCAAATGCCAGGTGGTTCATAGTGCTCAGAAGGAGCCTGAGGAAAGGCTCTTCATATTTCCAAAACTCTGCCTGACAGACAGCTGTTGATGTCTAAACCTACTTTGGACCATTTCACATCTGGGGAGTAAATAATTTTAGTTTTAATTCTGCAGTTCTGCTGACTACAAAACCGTAAAACAGAAAACAAAAAAAATTGAAATGCTTTAGTTTGATATCTGCAAATTTTATCCTGCCTGAATATCACTTTAGGTTAAACAGGCTGGGTTATCCACATTTAAGACTGCTATTAACCTTTTCTGACAATCTTAAAGACCACGTGATGCCCTCTGGATAATACAATAGCCATTTCATTATTATTTTTTGTTTTTATCACACACAATATTGTATTTCATATAGTTAACAGTGCCAGTTAACTATTAAGCCATTAAACTAACTCTTCTAAGGTGATGCTAGGCTCTCTACCTTTTAAGCTACCTGCAGAGTTAGTGCAGTCAGTGCACAAGCTGCTTTGAATTTACTCTAAGTTTTGAGTAACCTTGGTTTCATTGCTATATGTTCCTATATGTATTCTAATTGCTGCATGTTTTTTTGTTCTATTTTTTTTTGTGCAGAACATTTTTATTTGTATAGCAAACTGTAGTTTGTAGTTGCAAACAATTTCAAGTTTTGTTACAAAGATTGTTGAGAGAGGGACAATTGTTTTGTTGTTGTTTTCTATTAACAGAATTAAATGTTGAAACACAAGTAAGTGTGTTCTAATTCCTTAAAAATTATTATTTTAATTTCAATTTATAATTTGTGTATTCCAGTTACAGTGTCACAATGTCATTTTAATTAAGTGAAAATTTACATGATGTGATAAAGCAGGGGTAATCAATTACAAACCCAACAGGTCCGGTTACTAAGATTTCTTTCACAACAAGGTCCAGATCTCAAGTCTTTTTCATCCCATGGATTAGGGTTAAATCGAAACCATATATTTCCCTTTCATTATAGTAATATTTAAGTTTTTGTTCAAATTAGGACACATGAGTAACAGAGTGAACTTCAGGCCTTACTTGCAAATAATAAAAATATTCTTTTTCAATTTTAAAATTTCTATTTTCTGAATCAACTTTTTTCACCTTCAGTTGTCTGCTCCTCTCTATTTTGTGTCTGCAGTAAGCTATGGTTTGATTGGCTTACCTAACTACGTAAACAGTAGGCGATTACTGTAGGGACTGGTTTACCTGCGACCATTGTTTTATGGTGTACTGATAAAACAGTGCTCTGGGTTTATGCATTACGGGCAAATTTTTTCTGTCACTGATTATTGGTCTGGACAGAACGAGCACTTCGTCTGGATCTGGACTAAGCTCTGCCATTTGGTGATATATGTGATAAAGCAACCCAACTTTAAAAAAAATTAATTTTTTTTTTTTAAAGACGAAAATGTAGTAATGCTTTATTGAAGCAGTTTTATGTCATTATTATGCTGCTGGCAAAGTAAAGCTAGTATTTTGCTGATTTCTTTTGTTTCGAGGTTCATAGCCATTTGATTTTATAAATTATTGGTTCAAAACAATTCTACTAAATCTACCAGGTTGGCTTTGTCAGTTTTATTTACCTTCTACCGTGAAATAACAGTACAAATAGAAGGCAACATTGCAGACATCAAGGGCAGCTAAAAGTACCTGGGAATCCCACAGGCAAATGGCAACCACGAAGAAGCTGCTAGGAAAGTTGCAACCACGAAGTACCTGCAGAGGGTCAGGCAAGTCCTGAGGAGTCAGCTGAACGGTAAGAACAAGATCCGGGTTATCAACACCTACGCCCTGCCCGTGATCAGGTAAGGTAAAGCAGGGAAATGCCCTGTAACTTACTTTAAAACGAAATATGTTCCCTAAAACGGTGGACAGAGCTACAGACCCATGACACCCTGTGCAGTTAATAAAAGGACAGGTAATGTTCGTCGCGCTGTTGCACACACAGTACACTCATTTGTTTCAGTTCATCGGTTGCCACAAGACAGCTTACCAACATGTACACAATAACCTAATACTCCTGTGTCCTAGACGTCACAAGAAGGTAACTATACTTTAGTTACTATAGATGAAAAGATATCTTCTTGCTGGATGCAGAAATGTTAAATTATTATAAATTTTATATAGATGCTACTCTGAAAGTGCTTCTGAGCCTGGATTTGCCTGTTTTATTAGACAGATGGTCAGAGCTGGTGTCCCCTCTCCATCATCGTGTCCATCATTGCTAATAAAAGGAGTTATTTACAACCTCTTCACATGCCATCTTCTCCATATCACCAAGGTATGAGGAAACTCATCTGTCACAATGATAAATCTCTGAAGCTTGTTTATTTGCTGGATGTCTTTCTGCACAAGTGGAAACTGTAGCTGATCTCAGAGTGGTGAAAGAAGAGGCAGTGGCCTTGCTCTGTTAAATCAGTGCCAATCTGCCACTGATTTAAGGTTAAGGTTACTTTACTTATACCTGTAGGTAAATTTACTTTACAGAAGAATGATAGCATTTGACATCCCTTCAGATAAAACGTAGGACTGCTGGGCGCTGCTTGTGCACACGCCCTGTCAATTTAACGTATCATCCAAATGGTTAAAAAAAGATTAAGCCATAGTTGTTATGAAAAGTGTCCATAGAGATTAAAACAGTTATCTGTACTTATTTGTACCAGGTTTTAAATGTTTATTTCTCAGAAAGATTAGTATTTTAATGGTATTGCACTGGTGTATCAAACTGATTTGAAGGAATTACTGCTCTCTGGCACACTGCAAAGCATTAAGTTAACACTTAATAATTGAGCTTCCTGTATTGTTGCTGCTTATATTCATGGGTCTCACCAGTATAAGATGAGACACTCGTAACAATCAAACGTGAAACAAAAGCACACAGAAAGCTCCAGATGTGCCTTTATTCATTTACAGCACATTGCTGAGAGTTATAACAAAGGTTCAAAGTACACAGCTTTGCCAAAAAAATAAAAAAAACAGTGGTCCTTGGAAAATATTAACATTTAGTTAGTAACACAAAAAAGTGTGGAACCAATTATGACTTGATGACTTTCAGAATGCTTTTTTTCCTGTCTGTGACATAGATGAGCACACTGAATCTCTGAGTCAAAGCAAAGCAAATGATTATATAGTAGGTCAGTATAATCACAAACTGCAGATGCATTACAGAGAATTCATAACTTATTAACCACACTGGGTAAATCTGGAACACAAGGCAAATGCTCAGATTTTTTATTCTCAAACATCTGTAATTATTCAGTTATGGAGTCCTTTTCTTAAAAATTTAAATCTTTTTAAAATTACAGAAACACATTCTTACAACAATAATCAAAATAAATACTAAAGATATTCTAGGCTATTCAGAGGTGTGCCTGTATCTCTTTGTTCTAAGGATATTTTTAAACCACCTGACATCTTCAGGTCTGATGGACCTGCAGGTCCGTTTACATTTGGCAGAAACTTGAGCTGATTTTGGTCATATTGCAGTTATGTCTGCGACATTCATGTACATACTCCCTAGTTATCTGATATTCTAACATTTTTCAGACATATAAGGCATATGAAGGTTGAACAGCCAACCACATCCTCTTCGTAGTGAATGCAGTTCACCCCAGCTCCACAGTAAGTCGTAGGTGTAACTCCATGATGTTGAGAAATTTTTTTTTTCAACTAAGCATTCACCATAAATTGGTGTTACAGCAAAAAAAAGAGGAAGAAGATAAAGAAAAATCTAGCTGACTTAAATCCAAAAGGTTTGCTCTAACCAGAAAATTGCCCAAGTACAAAAATACAACAATATATTGCTATTGTTAGTGATGTGACTGGTGTGAAATCACTACAGAAAAAATCTTTATCTGAAGCAACTGTTAGGGCACTTTGGAAGCATACACAATCAACTCACTCAGAATCGATCTAAAAGTGTGAAACCTGAGCCCATCTTGACAATAGCATTATTGACAAATTTAATGTAAAAACAGACAAAAAATAAGAGCACGCTTTGGAGACTGGCTGATCAGCTGAAATCTCGGTTGGTGAAGACCATGGGGGCCACCAGTGTCCATGTGTACAAAGCCAAACAAACCCAGCTGGAGGTGATTTTCACCCATACTGCTGGCCACTTGCTCGTTATGGTGTAGTCTGTATTAGGGCTGTCAGAACAAAAAAATGCAATAAGTATATTTATAAAAAACTGAGAAAGCTACTTTAAGAAGGAAATTCCTTAACTTGTTCAAGCAGAAATCACAAAATCTCTGCACCTCAAAAAAATAAAGTCAGCATATAAATTATACAGTAGGAAATGCCTTTGCTGGGCCTATATGGTGCCATTAAACCCCTAATGAAACATTGTGGGACCATTTACAGTTTTAACAATGAGTTATGAATTTCCTAATATAAATAAAAGCACAATGGACTGACAGCTGCACAGAAAACTAGATCATAATCAAAAAAGAGTTCAAAACAAAAGATGAAACTGATATGCAAATTCAGTAGACCATTGTTGTCCTCATTCTTCTTGGTACTACTTGACCGAATAATACCAGCCGCAGACACCAATAAAGGGCAATTCTGGATATTTAAACCATTTTCTGGGTTATGTTAGTGCCAGACTGTGACTCTCATGGTCAACCATAACATTTGTGTCGTATCACGTCTCCCTCTGACACAAAAATAATTGGATGTGTTTTGGTTTATAACCTATTTTGAATGCATTGCTTCATATAGCATTTATCCCTTCTGTTGTTTAGTTTCTGTCAGTCTGGTTCATGCATCTGAATGGATACAATTGCATGAAACAGTGTTTGCCACACTTAAATGTTTCACATCATCAAACAAATGTAAATATTTGACAATAATATGCAGTTTTTTCAATAAAGGTTTTAAAATAAAGATCCAAGGAAATTCAGGAGAACTGAGAATCAAAGTAATTGAGATATTTCAGTGTGGAAAAGGTTATGAAGCCATTTTTAAGGCTGTGGGACTCCAGTGAACCACAGTGAAGCTTCCCAGGAGTGGCTGTCTGTTTAAAATTACCCCAAGGATGCAGCGACAACTCATCCAAGAGCTCACAAAAGACCCCCAGAATGCTTTTGTGAGCTCTTGAAAAAAAAAAATTAAAAAGAAGAAGAATGCTTGGACACAAACGCAATGCAGAGGATGAAGCATCACCAAATATGTTTCCAAACCAGCTTCCTTCCAAAACCCTCCAATGTGGCTGAATTACAACAGTTCAGCAAAGATGTGCAGGCCAAAATTCTTCCCCAGCGCTGTAAAAGACTCATTTCCAGTTATTGCAAACACTTGATTGCAGTTGTTGCTGCTAATGGTCCCAACCAGTTATCAGGCTTAGGGGGCAATTACTTTTTCACACAGGGCCATCATTTTAATTTGTCTGATGCTCTGAAACATTTAAGTCTGACAAACATACAAAAAAATAGCAAATCAGGAAGGGGGCAAACACTTTTTCACACACTGTATAAAAAGGAAATGAAATAAACTACCATTCACATATATATATTGTAGTATTATTGACCACCCAAACACTTCAAACTACACTTTAGGTGTTGTGCTAAAAGAGAAGGGAGCCACTGACCTGTACCAGTTAGTGAGGGTCATCATGATGTAAAGTGAGGCCAAGAAAAGCATGAAATGAAAAAAGGAGTAGCTGTACTGGACCATGTCCCGTTCATTGTCCTCCACCCGTCTGGGCCCTGTCGACTCCTCTGACAGTTCTGTGCTGCCCCCCTCAGCGAGGATGACTGAATCTTTGGATGCCATAGTTAGCTTGTTAACCTGGCTGTTGCTAGATGAACGAATGCTGGAATCAAAACAGAGATGAATGAACTGACCAAAAAGAAAGAAAAGCAAGTATTAGGATCACAGTATGAAAAAACAACGGACACAAACACAGTTCACATTAACAAGGAAGGCTTAGAAATGGTTAACCCTTCACTAGGTGAGGAACCATAACTAGTAATTACAGCAGTACTCTACACCAATAACAGCACAGTGTTGAAATTTTTAAGCCAAAGACTAGAAAAGTCTTTGGCTTATGATGGAGGGAACTGGCTACAGAGATCAAAATCATTTTTTGCATCAGTCTGTAAGCATGTGATCCGAAGGGCCAGCTCTGTTCTAGGATGCCCTCTGGACCCAGTGGAGGTGGTGAGTGACAGGAGAACGGCGGCTAAGCTGTCATCCCTGATGGACAACATCTCCCACCCCATGCAGCAGACTGTGACAGCACTGAGCAGCTCCTTCAGTGGGAGACTGCGGCACCCACGGTGTGGGACGGAGAGATTTCGCAGGTCTTTCCTCCCCACTGCTGTCAGACTCCATAATAAAAACTTTAACTGATCAAGCACACACATCCATACATATGCAATAACACTAAGTGCAATAATCCTTTCTGTCATCGTTGTATTTTTACTCAGTTGTATATAGTATTTGTATTTGTATTCTATTTTTATCTTATTGTATATTTATTTTATTTTATTCTACTGTATATAGTATTTTATTCTATTCTGTACAGCTGTGTACTGTATTTATTCTTATTGTATTCTAATTTTTGCCTCATAACTTTTGCACTGTCCACTTCCTGCTGTGACAAAACAAATTTCCCACGTGTGGGACTAATAAAGGTTATCTTATCTTATCTTATCTTATCTTATCTTATCTTATCTTATCTTATCTTATCTTATGTTTTTTTTAATGCTCATTAACACTGCAGTCTACAGTAAAAAGAGGTCAAACAGACGGGTTCTTATATAGAACTTTTCTACTCTAACAAAGCACTCAAAGCGCTTTACACAACATTTACAATGTTACCTGGAATACAGGATGCACAAGATAAATATAATGAGGCCCACAACGCTCTGAGCATCCCACCACTGCAGGTATGGAGATGTAAAGGCAGGTTTTTCTGTCCCAGTGATTGTGGTAATCATTGCCATGGTGGCTGTCTGGTTCTCGGTCTCTGTAGGGCCCGGGGTCGGGGCTGCGATCTGCTGGAAGATACTCAACAGGCTGGGGTTGCATTCCCGGTCTGAGATCAGCAAAACAAACAATAACAATATTAATTAAAAAATACTTTCAAAAACAATTTGAACAAAATAACCCAAAGCTTTTCTAAAAAGCAATAAATCTTAAGGTTATGAGACAAAAAGATCTTTTATTTGAAATGAATGGAGAAGAACATAAATATATGCAGATAAAGGATTGTTTGAGTCTATTGAAATTCCCAGACAATATAAACAGTCTCACCAGGCTCATTGGTCATGGCAGACCAGGTTAGAAACATAGTGTACAAGGTGATGAAAGAAGACTGTAGTAGACCTGAATGAGGTTGAGACTCCTGCAAATACACAGATAAGGTTTATCAGTGCCAAGTATTTACTTCCCACAGGTTTGAACTGAAACTGTACATATGTATTATATAAAAAGAAGTCATAATCCTGTGTTTACTGTTTAAGCACTCCAAACACAAAAATTAACCGTTGTTTATTATTTAGAAAATATCTAGATGGTTAAAAAAGGCCAGCAACAGTGGGGATGTTTGTGGGTAGCTTGGGAAAACCTGTTCTGCTAAACTCTAACATGAATGTTTTTTTCCTGATAACTTTTTACTGTCTGTACTTTCTACTACTTACATTTTCAAAACAGGCTTGTTACTTTTGGTTTAGCGCATTTGAAGGAAGCTATCATTTCACATCACTGGCCTTCACACATCAATTTTAAGCCTAAACAGTAAAAAATGAAAGGTAATCATGTTCGTGCATTAATCACCAGGGGATATCGCATAAAAGAGAACAAAGAGGCGCAGTCGTGTGCCATAGTGGGCAGTTTAAGTGGGTTGTGTTTTCTTTTTTTTTTAACAGCAAGTCAGCTGATCACAGTACATTGAGTGAATTGTGCTTTTTGTCACCATCTGTAAAACTGATTTTAGAGTTCCCTGCCCGCTGAATTTCACCTTAACCCCTGACTGTACTCATGTTTCTGTTTTGAGGCAAAGAAAATACAGCTATTTTTTCATTTTCCTTCTTTTTCTAGTTTTTCTTGTTCTAATTGATTAATTCAACCTGAGTACATTTATTAGAATTAAAATTTTGACTTAAATAATGTTTTTATTCCCATCTGATATTATTTTATTATTGCATTAACACGGTTCAGTTAGTTTTGCACAAAAATAGCTGGTAGAAATGTTATCAAAAGAGCTGTTTACTTTTCAATATTATCTCCTATAGCAAAACTAAACCAAGCTGCTACAAAACACAGTCATAATGTTTTGAAATAACAGAATTATGAGAGAGATATCCAACCATTTTCAGGTTTATTCTGTCTTTCCGTTTTACACTGTCAAACTCAGCAAAGGGGCCTTAGCATCAATTCCATGTAGATGCTACTATAGATGCTCATCATGACATGATGCTAGTAGCACAAACATTTGCAAACACAAAGCAGAATCTTCAGTGCTTAGAATAGTGTGTCTTGTTTTTGTTTTCTGTTTATCTGTGCATCGCAGACATGCCGTGTATTCACACCTGGACTTTTGGCAGGACTGAGACAACAGAGGCAACGATGCAGAGCAACATGTTGAAGCTGATGAAGAATTTGTTGATGAAGCATTCATTGGGTTTCGTGTAGAAGACAAAGAACAGCACAACAGCTGTTAATGACAGGATGTAGTTCAGGATCGTGACAGCCAGTAGAGCTAAAAATACAAGGTAGAAACAGTTCAAAGCTGAAACCAAAAAACTGATTTGAAAGTAGATTTGTGAAATCTGTGTGTGCTACATGTACGCTTTTTAAAAAGAAATTCAGAGTAAGTGCTCGCTTATGTAACAGTATTTAGAAGATGAATACAGCATGCAACTGGGCCAGAGTCACTGACCTGCATACCAGCCTCTGGAGTTGCCATTCTCCATCTTGTCAACCCAGGACTCATTCCAGGAGTGGGCAAAGTCCACCAGCAGCACCAGTTGAATCAGAATGAAAAAGAAGGCTCCACCAGAGCCTATGACAAACCATACTGCGACAACACAAATACACAAGTAATTGAACTACTCGTCTTTCATACAAACTAACAAATCTGTGTGTAAAAGAGATCTGAGTTATCAAGGATTTTAAATACAAATTCTTACTGTAGGTGAAAGGCCCTTCAGGGATGTAAAAGGCACCAACTGTAATTGCCACCAAGGCAGCAAACTTAAAGAACCAAAATCTGAAACAAATTGTTACTGTCATAAGTCTCAGGAAAACTGTCTCAATCAAATATCTCATCTGCTTTCACAGTGGCTTGCAAAAGTATTCGGCCCCCTGAATTTTTCCACATTTTGTCACATTACAGCCACAAACATGAATCAATTTTATTGGAATTCCAACACAAAGTGGTACACATGTGAGAAGTGGAACGAAAATCATACATGCTTCCAAACATTTTTTACACATA